TTTTCCAAAGAAATTGTACAAATGGCCAATAGGCAGATCAACGAAGTACACTGCTGAGGGGAGCAGTGGGCGGGTCAGGAGAGGTCTGCCACACGCCATGTGGTCTCCTCCGGGGGGCAGGCGGGGATCGAACTCATGCGGAAGTGGCTTTAGCTTCTCAGTGCAGTGATTTAACCCGCTGGGCCACCAGGGAGGGCCAAGAACCCTATTTTTAAAATAGACAGCTTTTACTTTTTCCAAAGAAATTGTACAAATGGCCAATAGGCTCTTGAAAAAACACTTAATATTATTAGTCAATAAGCAAATGTAAATCAAAACTAGAATGAAATAATACTTCATACCTGCTACTGTGGTCAAGATAAGAGAACTAGGCCTCCCTGGTGGTGCAATGGATTAAGCACTCAAGCTATCAGCAGCCACTGCTTCATGCATTCCTTTCCCTGCAAGGAAGCTGACCTACAAGGCATAGCAGACCTTTCCTGTTTTTCCCGCTCTGCCCTTCAGCAGTGTATTTCATTCATTCTGCCTGTTCTCTCCTGCACTGTGTCTCTGGTGAACCCCCGTAACCGTCACTGCACCTTTGGCCTATACTCCAGCTTTTGTATGCATAAATAAATCAATCTGTTTTTAAAAATAACAAGAGCACAAAACCAGAATGTTCATATAGCTGCTGGGAATGTAGAATGTTGCAACAACTTTGAAAAAGTTTGGCAATCTTAAGATGTCAAACATTGAGTGTAGGCCAAACTATTGTATTCTTAAGAACATTTAAAAGAAATTAAGATATCCATCCGTGTAAAAATTTATATATGAATATTCATAGCAGCATTATAATAGCCAAAAAAGTAGAAATAACCCAAATGTTCATCAACTCATGAATAAACAGGGATGTAGATAAAATGGTATTTTCCTTGGGCATAAAAAGGAATGAAGTACAACATGGACTAACTTTGAGAGCATACTAAGCAGAAGAAGTCAGACAGAAAAGACCACATATTTTATGAGGGGTTCCATTTATCTGAAGTGTCCAGAATAGGCAAATCCAGTAAGAGGATGTAGAGTTGTGGTTGCCAGTAACTAAGGAGAGGGAAGGAAGTATGTGGAGTAAGTGCTAACAGGTACAGTATATATTTTGGGGCAGATCAAGGTTTTCTGGAATAATGGTAATAGTTGCAAAACTATACTTAAAACCCTGAATGGTATACTTTTAAAAGGGTGGCTTTTAGGAAAGGTGAATAATATCTAAAGGTTCATTAATTTTTTTTCTTTCCGACGTTTGGTGTATTTACATTGGTCTAGGGCCTGATCAGATGACGTGTTGTCTGATGTTTTTGAGCTCTTGAAAGCTGTTTGTCTTCTCTTGATTCCAACAGGGAAGTCATTTGGTTTCTAATTGTCTTAACCGCCCAAGTTTTTTCTTCCAGTATAATCAGTTATTTGAGATGACAAAGTCCAGTGTAATGCATCAGACTAGCTTATAAAATATATAGTCATAAAAATTGTAGCTGTAATAAAATTTCTGAGGCCAAAAAAAATTTACTTGAGATACAGACTTAGTATATTAAGTGCCTCATACACAGAAATGAGTTCTACAGAAATTGAGTTCTATAGTAAATTTAAGTAAGCAAAAATGGTTTGCAATTTAAGTATATACTGTTTTCTGTGGTTTGCATGTTCTTAGGGAGTTTGAGTAGTATTTATTTCACTGCATTTATGTGTAGATTTAAGAAACTGGCCAGGGCATTTTATAAAATCAAATATGGCGGGCCCTCCCTGGTGGCGCAGCAGGTTAAAGCACAGCACTAAGAAGCTTAAGCCCATTCTGCTTAAGCTGAATTCCCGCCCCCCCGGAGGAGATCCACATGGCATGGCAGACCTCTCCTGACCCGCCCGCTGCTCCCCTCAGCAGTGTACTTCATTGATCTGCCTGTTCTGCTTCCCACTCTGTCTCTAGTGAATCCTCTCACCCTCCGCATCGCTGGCCTGTACCCCAGTTCTGTACGAATGAATATATAAATAAATCTTAAAAAAAAAAAATCAAATATGACAGTTATTGCTAAAATGCCTTAATTCAGGCATTTTAAGGGTCATCAGTTTGCTTTTAGAATGTATAGGATAATAATATTAAATATAATTAAATATTAAGTGGTCTGGCTTCCTAAATATATATATACATATACATATACTGTGAAGTTGATTCTTAAATTACTAAAAACATAGAGTGGTGATTATTTTGATTAGATTTCCCAGGTCACATTCATGAAAGCAACAGTGATTGTGGTAAGGATGTCTGGGAGAGAATGAAGATACAACTGTAGCTCCTGAGAAATACTAGTCATCTTTACAACAGCAGTAATGGTATTAGTCAGGCCTGGGTATCAGTAAGTAACTTTGGTCACAAGCATTCAAAGGAATTTGGGGAGCCTGTGCTTAGCAAGGGTAGGCATGAGGATAATACTGATGTTGAATTCACTTCTAAAGAATGAGAAGCACCACTGGTACATTTTGATCTAATCAGAGTTAAGAATGATCTGAAAGGGATGAAATTTATTCTAGGACCATATTTGCTCTGTAAGGAGGGACTTATATTAGTGTCCATTTTCTGAAGACTAATTATTCTGGCCAAGTTAGGGGAAGAGGTTAAAGATTCTTTAGTCCTACAAGCTGTCAGTGTGTCCTGGGGTGCTCTACTTTATCTGGGCTAGATTAGAAACTCTGAGTTTCTTAATTTCTCTGATGCAAAAATTTCACTCTCTGCCTATTTTTTTTCCCCATTTATTCTGAATGATCATTGAATCCCGTGAATACATGTTTATCATTTTGGGAATAGTAATAAGTATACTCACCAATGTAATATTTCTAGACACTGACTTGTTACCATATGAAGATGAAAATAATTAAAGCATTCTGTTCTGAAGTAATCTCTATTGTAATGCAGAAACATTGACTGGGTTTGGAGGATACACCATTTACTGCATGAGGATGTCAATGCTGAAACTAGTTTCTAGGGAGGCAACTGGGAAAGAAACACATTGGAAATAATCATTGAGATCTTTCCAAATTTCACTTCCTCAGAATTATTAAGATTTATAAACTTCATTTTTTAACCAAAATGTATAGTTTGTAATATTACCCTATGAATTATCTACGTAACTTTTCCTTAAACTGTGTGACTTTTTCTCCCAATGTGCTTCTTTTAATGCACTCAGCTTTTTATTAATGAGAAAAAGTAAAAGAAAAACTAACCATTCATTCCTAAGAAGTCTCAGAGAATTCTAAAACTTGCTAATATAATGCTGTCTTTGGTTATTAAATAAAGGCAACTTATTTAGGACTTGTCGTATATAGTACTTGGCTAAAGACATTAAAGTTGACCATCAAGATGGTTTATGATGACATGTGTAGTTAAGCTGCTAATTTGAAAGATTTAATCAGAAGATTTCCTTTTCTCATTTCATGTAACTTTGAATATTTTATGACTTAAGTAAAATTTGAGTAAAGACTGATTTTTTATAAAGAATATATTGACTGTATTATTCTTGTTTTTGTTCTCTGTGTTTTTTTTTTTTTTTTTTTTAAGAAACTATAGTGACACTGAAACTGAAGGAGAGATTTTTAATTCCTTAGTGCAATATTTGGGTGATAACTTGGGGCAAAAAGTTCAAGCGATGCCATTAGTTGAAGAAACTTCTTTACTTGAAGATTCATCAGTGACTTTGCCTATGGTAGTAATAGGTAAGTTTTATAATTTATTCCTTGAAGTTACAGTTGTTATCATACTGCTTCTATAAATCTACAGCTATACAGCATTAGTTCTTAGGATTGGTTTGAGAAGTGTCCTTACTTTTTATTTTTCATGTGTTAAAATAACTAACCAGCTTTGTAATAATAAAAAAAAAAATAACTAACCAGCAAATCTTTGGAAAGAGTAGTTTATCTGAGAGTAGATTGTGTTAGAACACAAAATGTTTTCAATGAAGGATTGATAGTATACTATTGTTTTAATACGCTGCCTGGCGTAATTGTATGGCGTTGTGGTATAATTAGAGTGCTGTCAGAGCACTGTACAGTATTGAATTTTGAGCACAGATTAGATCAGACAGAAAGAAACTCATGAGTAACTTATGCAAGTTAGTAATGACATTATGTACGCAATGGTAATATTTATAATTACCTTAACCTTAACATTACTGTCATACTTTTGTTAGCTCCTCAGTAATTAGACAAATAAGAAAGTAAAAAAAAATAAGCTATTAATAAAACCTAATTACTTCATTTTTTGTGATTTAATTTTATTACATGAATTTAATTATCTGTCATGTATGTCTTCCATTTAATTCAAACTCATGGAAGTCAGATGAATATTTTATTATGAAGCCAAATTGGAGAGAAGTTGGAACATGGGTTTGTTGATGGCATACGATTTAATTATTATCTTCGATAACTTGTTTCAAAGTCATTGGAAAGGAAAGAGGCAAGATTCCTCTCATGGGTAATGACGGGAGTTTTTGCAGTATTCTCATCTAGGATGTCACAGGAACCATGCCTCATGTTCTATTTTCCCTCTTATGTCCAGCCTTGATTTTCCATTCGACTGTCTTGAAATGATGAAAGGAGCCCTGACTTATTTCTTATTCTAGCTGGACTGTTCAGGAAGGGGAAACAACCTTCATCTATACCTATACCTGCCCACCTCAGTTCTTGCAAAACCGTCTGTTCCAGTTTTGTCTCAGCTAGCTAATGAATAGCTTAACTGCATGTATAGAGGGCCACCTGCCTGAGTACAGGTAATAAAGAACTTTACGTGTTTGTGTGCATACACACAAACATACAGCTTCTGTATAATACATAGAAATAAATAGATAGATAAATAGACTTTCTTTGTCTTAGCAAATCACCGCAACCTAGTGACTTTAAATAGTCTGACAAGGTCCCTCTAGACTAAAATGAAGGTATCAGGAGGGCTGAATTCTTTTTTGGAGACTCTACAGGAGAGTTGATTTTCTTGCCTTTTCCAATTTCTGGAAACTACTCAACTGTCCTTGGGTCCTGTTCGTTTCTGCATCTTCCAAGACACCAGTGTTATTTTCTCTCTTAACTTGTGTCTACCTCTCACCATAGCTACGGGAGGATTTCTGTTTTCAAGAGTTTATAAGACTGGGCCTATCTGGATAACCAAAGTACTTTATCTCACCTTTATACACATCCCATAATCAAATACCTTTTGATATGTAAAGTATATATAACTTCTTGGGTTAGGATGGGGACACCTTTGGGGGTTAATTGCCTACTTGTATTCTTTGCCAACTGTCTTTTTTTAAAAGATTTATTTATTTATGCATAAAGAACTGGGGTACAGGCTAGAGTTGCAGGGTTGGTGAGAGGATTCACCAGAGACAGAGTGGGGAGCATAACAGGCTGACTGACGAAGTACACTGCTGAGGGAGGAACAGTGGGGGGTGGGTCAGGAGAGGTCTGCCACACCATGTGGATCACCTCTGGGCAGGGATTGAATTTATGTTGAAGTGGCTTTTAGCTTCTTAGTGCTGTGCTTTAACCTGCTGCACCACCAGGGAGCACCCTGCCTACTGTCTTTTGAAAGATGATTGAAAGAATTCCTTGTCGTAGATCTTATTCCCACTTTTTAATTTATTTAGTATTTAATTTATTGGCTTTATATTTTTGGAGCACATTACATGTATAGGGAAGAAAGTAGAGTCCTCTTATAGAGTTCTCTTTCCTTTCTCATCTCCCGTGCCCCCAGGTTTCCTTGCATTGGTATGATACCTTTTTTATAATTGACAAACAATATTGGTACATTACTAACTAAAATCTATAATGTACGTTAGGACTCATTCTGTATGTGATATGGTTTTCTGGGATTTACTTGAATGCATGTCATATAGCCAATACAGAGTACATGGCATGTGCCTATCAACTTTTTTTTTTAATAGGAAATGGACCCTCAGGAATATGTCTTTCTTATATGTTGTCTGGCTACAGACCATATTTGTCTTCAGAAGCAATACATCCTAATACAATCTTACATAGTAAATTAGAAGAAGCAAGACATCTTTCCATTGTTGATCAGGTATTTCTTAAATGTCAATTCTTTGAATTTTTTAATACTAAAACATATATCTATTTATAAAAACATATTTCTTAGGCGAAAATTCGTGCTTTTAAATGACACTTTCTATTACTATCAGCTAGATCTCTTAAGTTTTTCTGCTGAGTTATTTATTTTTCTGACTTGACTAGAGAGGAGTTTCTTAGAGTATTTCCTTATAGTTTTAATTGGTGTAATATATGTTCAAATAAGTTTGGGAAGTGCACTGATTCTTACTGTTGGAATGATATGGTAGGTAATCAAAATATAAAAGGAATATCATGTTTTATAATTAAATGATCTGATTAGCTTTGTTGACACCCAATCCTTTTTTCATGTTTGTTTTTTTAACTAAAGAATCTATTAAAGATTTTAAAGAATATCTGTATGGTAGAGCATACAATCTGGGAAATGCTGGATTAGAGTAGCTGCTTTCACTATTAATGATGTCTTTGTTTTTAAACTTTTTTTTCCCCTTTCTTTTAAAAATACTCATTCAGGACTTAGAATACTTGTCTGAGGGCCTTGAGGGCCGATCATCTAATCCAGTTGCAGTACTTTTCGACACACTTCTCCATCCAGATGCTGACTTTGGGTATGATTATCCATCTGTTTTGCACTGGAAATTAGAACAGCATCATTATATCCCACATTTAGTTCTCGGTAAAGGTCCACCTGGTGGCGCTTGGCATGTGAGTATATTTTCCATGACATTTTATTCTGTGTCATCCTGATAAGACCATTTTGACTCTTATGCATTGTTATATAATTATATATGATGTTTACATTTTTATCTGAGGACTTTAATGTTTTTCAGTTCAGTATCAGTTAATTATATAATAGTTAATCAAACCAGGTTTGATTACTGATAAAATCTTAGAATAAGCATTTTTGATATTTTATAAGAATTATATGGAAAATATTTCAAGAACTATTTGTTTAGTGAAAAAATTTTAATTTACATATTCAGTTTAGAGTTTACCAAATCTCAGATATTTCTTACCAATACCTACTATTTCCCTACATATTTGAGATCTTAAATGAAATTGTATTGGGCTGCTATAACAACAGTGCCATAGGCTGAACCACTTAAACAAAATTGTTTCTCACAGTTTGGAGGCTGAGAATTCTGATATCAAGGTGCCAGCCTATTGAGTTCACAGATAGTGATCTTTTCCTGGTTTGTAAGTAGCTTGTATCTTCAGATGTCAGAGGAAGAAGCAATCTCTCTCTTTTTTTGTAAAACCACTAATCCTGTCATTACATAACTACCATAATGGACCTCATCCAGCTCTAATTAACTTCCAAGGCACCATATCCAGGTAGCATCACTTTGGGGTTATGAATAAATACAAACTTTGGGGAGATTAAACCAGAGTACTGATAATGTAAATATTCAGTGGATAATGCAAATATTCAGTGCATTTTGTTGGTGATAGCAACTAATAATTATTCATGACTCCTATGTCCTTAGCAGTTAGTACAGTAGGTGTATAGTGAGTGCTCATTTGTTATCCAAATAGATGTCAGTTTTTGCTGTGCTATGAAATAGACTTTCCACTGAATCTTTTGAAGGTCAGTAACTTCCATTTTTGCTCTATTTTGATAGTCTCAAAATTTTCTGACGTCTGCAACGTTTGACAGTGGCAGTGATCCTCTTAGATTCTCTGAAATTTAGTCTCCTTGTTTTTCTTCCTGTTTGATCATCCTCATCTACTATCTTTGTATACTTGTGTTCTTGGGTGTGCTTCTATCTGCTCCAAGTCATTTTTATACTTTTCATTCTCTTTGGATTTTGTCATGTACTTCATCTTGCATATAAATGTTGATTGATTCCCAAATCAAGACATTTGACCCATATTGTTCTCTTTTATATATCAGACTGGATACATTTCCCTGAGTGTTCCACTGATGGTCTCAAACTCAACATGCCTAAAACTAATCTTTATCATTAAATTCATCATCATTCTTCATCATCATCATTTAATTTTGTTATATTAGAGTAGAACTGTAACGTAGTTATTCGAGCCAGAAACTCTGTTCCTTGATTTCTTTTTCTTCAGTTCCCATTTCAACCCAATTACCATATTTTCCTCCATTCTTAAAAATATGTTTTGTGCCCATCTACTCTACTTCTCCTCATCATATTTGTAATTCTTTAAACACACCCTAAAATATTGTCTCTCTACAATTTTTCTTCTTCAGTATATCATCCATACCTGAGACAAAGTTTTTTTATAAAATAAACCTCAGATATGTTAAACCCACACATAAAACCCCTCAGTTATTCTTCTTTATCTAATGAGTAGTATGCTGGTCTTTAACAAAGTCTTCAAAAATACCCTGAAAGGTCTTGCCTTTGCTTAGCTTTCTTATTTTCTTTCTTTCTTTTTTTTTTTTTTTAACCTCATTCTTCATTTTGTACATTTTTCCATCTCAGTTGTAATCCCCATGGGCCTCCCATCATCAATTCACCCCGGTGCTTAGCTTTCTTACTTTACTCTTCTCAATCTTTTATACTCTGTTCTCCAGAATGTTTGTGCTGGGAATCTGTGTTTACCCTCTTAAGAGTCACAGAACTCCTTGAAGCTTATTTTTATTACATTGAAAGGATACAGATTAGAATCACAACAGGGAGCATGCTCATGGGGTGAAATCTGAGAGAAACCAAGCTCAAGATTGTACATGTCCATTTTGGTGGAGTCCATTTGTATAAAGATGTACTTAGTTCTGTCAATAATGATTTGTGATATGTGCAAATAGTTTCCAATCAGGGATACTTACCCATGTTTTGGTGTTCAGATTTTTTGGTGGCTAGGTCATGTTCGTCATGGCTGCTTGAGCAAATGATTCCCCTGCTTTCCAGAGCAAACACTGGTGTTCACCATTAGTCCACATCGTTAGGTTAAAGCTTCCATAGCCACACTGTAAAGCAAGGCGTAAGGCATTAGCTAAAGCAAGAAAATGGTCAGCAGGTAGAATATTCTAACAGCTCAGAGCTTCTTCCGTAAGAAACAGCCAAGAGCCTATCCTGAAGACAGACCATTTTTAGTAATGTTGGGGGATGAATATACCAATTTAATCTTCCCTGCACTATATTGAACTCCTTTAAATATGAAGATCGCTCGTGTTCTCTTCAACTTTCATATAACATGCTTATTCTGTTTGTAATGTTATCAATTTCTTCAAAGTCTAAATGTGTTCTTTAAGAAATATTCTTTCCTTTCTCTATGCTTCTAATTCTTTCAGGTTTACATCCCTTAATATAGAAAGATAGTTAAGACATTAAAAATTAATGAACACTTCCCCTTTTGCTTAAGTGAAAACATTTATTTGTTCCTCTGACTTAATATTCTATATCTGAATTTTATGTTGACTTATGTCATAGCTATTAGTATTGCATAGGTAATAGGTAATAGTATCAATTTGAGTTGTAAATGTATGACTATAAAAGATGGAATGTAGGTAGATAGTACCAAATGAAAGTATTTGAAAGTCATTGGAATAAACTTTTAGAGGTAATTTATACAATCTTTTAGGACTTCTTTGAACTCTTCTTTTTGAACGCTTAATTATAGCAAATGGGATGGGTTCGGTTAAAAAAAAATCATGTTACTCTTTAAATGTGTATTTTGATTATGCATTCTTTATTCAAATAGAATATGGAAGGTTCCATGTTGACTATCAGCTTTGGAAATTGGATGGAGCTACCTGGACTTAAATTTAAAGATTGGGTGTCTAGCAAACGAAGGTAAAAAATCAAATTATTAAAATTCTTTTGTGTGTACAGTGGGAGAGTCTGCAGGCAGATTTTGAAGTATCTGTAATGAATAATATAATGATGAATAATATAAATATATTTGTCTTTCAAATTAAGTCACTTTGCAGTAGTTTATAATTAGCTAGTTTCCACTTTAATATGTTATATAACTGAACAAAAAGGGCTTATCTGCAGATTGGGTTACTGTGACCTCTTTATTAATTATGGATTCATCCCACCCTCTTGTTAAATCATTGTCTTGTACTTTCCTATACATCCACATACCCTTTCCATACTTACCTACTTGTTGTTATGATTAGATACACATTTCAGGTGTGTATACCTTTTTACACACATACTAAAATTTCTGACTTTCACCGTAGATTAGTGTTTAGGATTAATTTAAAATTATGGAATAAACTAAATCTGTTACATAGTTGGCAGTGTGGGTTTGGAGGTAATTTTAGAAACAAAGGGGTAAAAGAAATCTCAATTTGGAAGACTTTTATTTTGGAATAAGAAAACCAAAATTTAAGAAGAGAAATATTAAGACTATCATTTTCCAGGATAATAAATATTGAATTAGATGTCAATAACTAATACAAAGAATTTACTCTAATTTGATTACTCACAGAAACAATAAATTGAAACCAGAAGT